TTTCTGGAAGCCTTTTCTGATCCCCTCAGCTGCAATTAATCTTCCTCCTGGGCATTTTCTGGTAACATTGTATGTTTACCATTCCTTTTAAAATTGAATTCAAATAATTCATGTGTTTATTTAAAGTTGACGATAATGATTTCCTGGTTCTCCGATTAGGTGTAGTTACTTAACAGTATCGTGAGAGCCCTTTCATTTACTGCATAAAAATGAAACAACTGTAATAATAGGTATCCTATTATTAACCCTATAATAAAAGTGCATTCGTTTATTTCTAATTCTGGAAACATCCTTACAAGGTCATAGGTTATATCATCCACATTTTATATTTGAAGAAATTGGGATTTAGCAGTGTTGGTTTCTATCACACTGGCATACCTCCTAACCTTCGGCTATTTTAGTTGCTTTTCCGTTTGCTGTTGATATAATCAGCTTTTTGATAGCCTCACAAATCCTATTGAAATTTTGACTGGGGGTTGCAATGACTATTTTAAGAATTGAATTGTTTATTTTAAGAATACTGAGTTTTCTAATTCATGCACATAGTATATAGCCTACCATTTATATAGATTTTTTTTCCTCAGCAAACTTATATAGTGTTGTTCTGTCTTGCACATATTTTCTTAAATTTGTCCTGTTTCATTTTTGATGCTGTTGTAGATGACATTGTTTTCTTAATTTTAACTTTTATCTGTTCCATGGTAGTGTATAGAATCACATTCAACTTTTGTATATTGATCTTGAATTCTGAGACCTTGGTAAGTTCACTCTTTAATCCTACAGCATTTATATGGATTCTTTGTGATCTCATATATTCCTTAAGCATGCTTAGATTGGTCCCCAGCCAAAGCCTCTAGACTTACTCTGTATGAATTTCATCTCATTTCTCTCTGAAACTCTTTTTTGCAATTTCTAGTCTCCTGATCCTCCTTGAACACTTATCTCTGTCCCCTCATTTCAGTGAGAATGCCGGGCTCTGTTTGGCCTCTTCCTCCCCACACAGTAGTTTGGAAATTGCCTCCTGGCAGAGAGCCTGCATGATGTCAGGACTCACCTTCTGTCTTGTCTGTCAGAGACTACAGTTCACCTCTGCCTCTTGCCCGGTGTCTGAAAATTCTGTAGTTGTTCGCTTTTGGTTTTGTTTTTAGTTATTCACAGCACACGGATAATTCTGGACCCTGCTTTTCCCTTAGGACTTGGTGGAAGTTAAAGATAGGTGGTTAAGGAGGTCCTGTACTCACAGAAACAAAGAGAAGCTGGGTGGTTTGTTTTACCTAAAAGAAACAACATAATCAGGTTATGAACAAGGTTGAATCTCTTTTTTGGAGACTCTGAAAATATAATGGTTTTGGCTTTGTATTGGGACACTGTCATTTTCATCAGTTTATTCTCTAATACACATGTATTAAATGTTTGCTGATTGGATGTCAGAAGGGTAGGAAACAGATTGGTATGTGTTGGTAACACGTATTTGAGACAAAATTAGAGATGTACTAAAATTTTAACATAAACTTTTAGCAAATTAATTTTAAAGCTTGCCAAAAATTGATATTTTTAATGTATTTAAACTTTCTTGGTTATCACATCTTGACTTATTCAGCTAGATTATTAAGTACTTTGAAGCAGTGAACATGGCTTCTATTTCTTCTGTGTGTGTAATTTGGCTTACTAAACTCCCATTTTAGATTGACTGCCTTTTGAGTAGAAATCACTGATCCAAATGTAAAATTCTCATGTTTTGTCAGTATGCTCCTATCAGAAATAGCCAAGTGTTAGCCAGTTTCCTGTGATGAAATATTCAGTAGTGAAATTACAACAGCCTGCTGAGTAGTTCTATTATTTGTCTATTTTTTTGTCTTGCGTGTTCAGGTAGTATTGATTTGTAATGAAGACATTTAAATTCATTTAAATCCTGACTGTGAAAGAGTTATAAGTCAGATTTAAGCCTGGTAGTGAGTTGATATAGCCCTTTTTTTCGCACTACAGTTGGAACGCATGAACTTTGATTATAAGTAGGCTGAATTACATCATAGTAACTTTACTTTCACTGATGTTTCCAATTATTTTGACGGCATATTAAGTTATTTAAGTAATCATACTAAAATTTGCTATTGACTTTGTCTTTTTGTTATTTACTACATTAAGCAGACATGGCTAATCATTTAACCATGCTTCTACATGAACAAAAAAGTAAATTATAGAGCAACACACAGATATTTTCTGCTGTTGAATTTACACTGTCCCTAAGTGTGTTTTAAAGAATTTAAAATCTGTTGTGTGGATATTGATGCATTTTGAGGTATCAACTACTTCGTGTGTTTTACTCATTTTAATAAATTGATTGATAATATCAAAGACAAAGTTAATTTTAAATTATTATTATTTTTAAATGGAATGATTTAGTTACAATATCTTTGGCCCACCCTTTAATTTTGAAATTTTTCTAACCTACAGAAAAGTTAGTAAAATGAACTCCTCTATACCTGTCATCTAGACCTATCAATTGTTAACATTTCAACATTTGTTTTCTCTTTCTTTGTATAAATAAAGATAAGTGTGATATCCAAATAGGGGCTAAATACTTCAGAATGATTCAGGAAAGTATATTTATATGGTACTATTTTCTGATGTATAATTGATACTGCAGTTTCAGCAGTTATTCTAATAGTGTCTTTTGTAGTTGATTTTATTCTCAATCCAGGATCCAGTAAGGATAACACATTACATGTATTTGTCATATTTCTCTAATTTAGTTTGATCTATAGAAGTTCATCCTCCCACTTTTCGTTTTTCTTTTCTTTTTTTTTTTTGATTAGAGTTGGGGGGATTGTCTTTCTAGGCTTTTCCTTCTGTTAAGAATCCAAACCAGTTGCTTCTAAAATGTGCCATTGTTGGTCTGGATTTATCTGATTGTGTCCTGTGATTAGATTCAGGTTAAACATTTTTGGTAAAAATAATAGATAAGTGATATTGTGTATTTCTCGTTGTATCACAGCAGAGGGCATATAATGTTAGTTTCTTGCCTTATTGATGATGCTAAGTTAAATCATTTGGTTAAGATGGTATATCTTAGATTCATTGCTTGAAACTTTCTTTCCTTACTCTATCCATATTTGTATTTCACTTCTACAGTATAAGCCTCGTTCCCAACAACAACAACAACAACAACAACAACTTTATGTTCATTTGCTCTATCGTACAATACACATAATATAATATTACCAACTAAACCTACTATGGAAGTTAAAGATGTTTTTGTTTTTGTTCCTCATTTTAGTAGGTGGAAAAGTTATAGTATGTTTTAAAAGTTACTTACATTTTTTTATGTGATTATGTTGCAATCTGATGTTTTCTTTGATTTCTTTATAATTTTTTCTGATTGAATTTGAAATTCAAATTGAGTTTCATTTCATTTTCAAAAATATATAATGTTTGTATTTCAGAAGTCAAATTTTTTGTGAAATTGTTCAGAGAAGTCTTTCATCTGTTTCTGTTCCTCTACTCCATTCCCTCCCACCCTCTTTGAAAACCTTTTTTCTTCAAAGCTCGTAGTTTATTCTTCCTTTGTTTCTTTTTACAAAATAAGCAAAATAAACTTAAAGTTATGTCTAAATTTTCAAAGAATATGTTTGTATACTAAAAGGATATATATGTTCTTAATTCTTATTCTTTCTTAAAGTATACACACACACTTTTGCTCTTTTTCTTTTAATTTCACAAAAATATCCTGGCAATTACTCCACACAACTTTCCTTATTTTTTTTTTAATAGTTTTTGTATTCCATAGAGTGGATTTATCATATGTTATTCAACCAGTCTTCTATGGATGGACATTTAGGTTGTTTCCAACATTTTGCCGTTAGTAATAATGTCTCAAAGAATACTTACACATATATTGTTTTGTATTTGTAGACATGTCTCTTCAGGATAGATTCCTAGAAGTAGGATTGGATTGCTAGATCCAGACAGTTATTATATCTGTATCTTACAGTTTTCTCTTTGTTACCTTCTTACTTTTCCTCATCCCTTTAACTCTCGAATACACATGCATTTCTTTTATGCTCCAAATATTTGGGAATATGGTAAAATTTTGATGTCTTTTGACTTTGTATATTGAATATTTTGCGAAGTATAAGTGTTAGAAACAAAATAGTTGGTGACGTTACAATAACTAATACATGTATTAGAAACCTCTGGAATTTCTGGAAGATACTTCATACTAATTATGAAAGATATTTCATATCAGTGAAAAGTATACATTTTAAAAGAAATCCACTGTCATTGATTTATAACAAAGAAAGTAAATTTTATGAAACTAATGAAAAGATGAAATATTAGAATTTTTAACACTGTATTTCTGAATTTTTAAAACAGCTTAGGTTTGAACATAGTTAAGTCTTATACATTACAAGTATGACAATAATAGTGACAATGACAGGTAATATATATGATTTACTGTGTGCCAGGTACTTAGCCCAGCAATGCATATACATTAACCTAAATTGCTTTATTTAATCCCAACGGCCTTATGAGGTGTATTTATAATTATTTGCCTCATTTACAGATGAGGAAAATGAGGCATAGAAATGTTAAGTGACATCCTCTGACTCATGCAGCCAATTATTGGCAGAGGCAAAATTTGAATCTACACAGTATTCAATATAAATTCTTGGCTTTTAATGACAGTGCTTTATTACTTCCCTTGGACTCAGTATTATTTTTCTATATCAAGCCAGTATTGACCTGAGGTTTATATGACTTTAGATTCTGAGTTCTTAACCGCTGTGTTCTTTTTCTCCCCCTGAAAGCAGTATAATAAGATTTTATGTGGTTGTTATATCAAATTTGTAATCATAAGTGGTGATACAGGATTGGAATTCCATTCATACAGCCACTATTGCTAACAAAGCAACCCTTTTATGCCACCATCCATGGCAGAATACAGAACTGTGTATTTTATTTTTCTGACCCATTAAAGTTACTTATGTTCTGTTCTTCAGTGGATGATTCAGCAGCCACATAAAGCAGCAACATTTTTTGGATGCATTGGGATAGATAAATTTGGGGAGATCCTGAAGAAAAAAGCTGCCGAAGCCCATGTGGATGCTCATTACTATGAGCAGAATGAGCAGCCGACGGGAACGTGTGCTGCGTGCATCACTGGTGGCAACAGGTCAGTGTCATTTCAAAGGAAGCACTGCACTAACTGACTGTTTAACCACTGATAAAACCTGAGTTCAAATCTGAATTTGGAATTTGAACCTCACGTTTATAATTAACTTTAATGTTTAATAAACTCTTCTTTCTTGTATCATTTTTCCTTTAAATAAATTTTTTAACTTTCCTGAACCTGCTGTTGTCTTCATGAGGCTTAATGAAATGAAATTTTTGAGATGATCTAGTCCAGTCTCTACTTTTTATCATTAGGATCAGAAAAGGAAAACATTTTTTTCAATGTTTTATAGCTAGGTTCCTTCTGAACTGGCATTAGAAAGAATGCTCTTTTCACCTTATCCTGGGATTGGAATATTAAAACACATATGTGTATACAAATATTACATTACATCCAGTCTCATGTGAAGTAGATCATCTAAAGCATTTCTGGCAAATAGTCATCTGTCCATATTAAACAAATTCAGTCATGGGTAGTGTACCACTCAAAAAAAACAACCCATCACATTTCTATACAACTTTGCTTATTAAAATATTTCATTTATTTCTTACTGTATTATTTAATTTTGGTGGTGGGGGAGGTAATTAGGTTTATTTTTATTTTTTTGGAGGAGGTACTAGGGATTGAACCCAAGACCTTGTGCATGCTATACATATGCTCTACCACTTGAGCTACAACTTCCCCCCAACTTTGCTTATTAGAACATTTTTCTTTCTGTGAACTTGTCCCTCAGAGCCTTCCATGCATTGGCTGTATCTGTACCTTTTGCAGCTACGTGGAGGTATATCTTCAGTACATTCATACATTGCTTCATTATTATATAGCATCATTATTTCCATATTCTGATCAGCACAGGCTTTATTCTCCTTTGGAAAGGACAAAAAAATAATTTTCCCAGTTATTATATTGTTAGAATAACCAAAGATGATCTCTTTTTATTTTTTAAGTATATATTTTATTTTATTTATTTTGGGGGGGTAAATTAGGTTTACTTATTTATTTTATTTTTAGAGGAGGTACTGGGAATTGAACCCAGAATCTTGTGTATGCTAAGCATGCACTCTATCACTGGAGCTGTACCTTTCCCCTGATCTTTTTTTAAATAGTGATTCACTAGGTACTTTCCATTCCTTAAAGCTGGAAATATTGGCTGTCCTCCCCCATTCCCTATCTCGCATTCTTTCCCTCCTTTCTTATTTGCCTCTTTGTCTTCTTTTCTTTATTTTCTCCTTTATCTCTTCTTCCTTTGCTCCATTCCCCCTCTTTATCTCTTTCACTTTCGCTCACTCTTCGACCTTGCAAATGTATGTTAAAGACCGGACACTATTCTGGACAGGCATCATTATATAACTAAAATAAAACTTTCAAAAATAATTAGGATTCCAAAGCCATTTTAAAAACTTTTTTGAGTGTTGGAGTACTTTATGATTTTAAGGTTTTAATAACGAAAAGCACCCGTTGTTCAAACGTTGAGATATATTTATTTAGAACCTTTCCCCTTTTCAGTTTTTCTAAAAACCAACTTTAGTAGGCAGATACAGAGTTTTCCCATTAGTGAGAAATGGGTCAACTTTTGCCTCTGATACCACTCAGGCTACAATAAAATTGCTTGATTGTTTTTGTATGCTAAATTGCTGTTTTTAAAAGTTATAATAATATTAGGTTTCCTGGATGTCAACAGCTTAATTTATATACTCCTGTTATGGTTGTGGGAATGAGTATTATTTAGGTGATACTGGAAGTGAGAACTTGGGGGAAACCCTCACTATTTAACTCATTGTCTAAATTGTGGGATCTAATATATTTAGATAAATTGTTTTAAACAGGGTTAGGAACTCTTCCTTCCACTCTTCCAAACTCTGAACCAGATACACTTGGATAGTAGGAACACCAGTATTTTTCTTTTGGAGGAACTATTTAGTTTCCTATCAAAGAGTCGTTTTATTATCAAAGTAAAGTTTAGTAACTTGTGCCAGAAGTGTCTGCTTTTATTTAGTAATCATTTTGTCAGAATTTTGATGAAGTCATGGTTAGCAAAATTTTAAAAATAAATTAGAATTAATTATTCTTAAATTTGTAACTTAAGTTATTTTGCATATGCATATATTGATGCATATTACTCTTAGTTTCATTAATTTTTAATTGAACATAAACAGAATGTATCCTTCAGTTAGTCACTTGGCATATGGTTGAGTAGAAATATGTTTTGGAAGAGAATTGATTTTTTTACTTAACCCCAACTATTAGCATTGGATTACAAAAAGTGAAAAATGGACAGTTTTTTTCCCCTAATTTCTGTGTCAGAATGAGGAGGAACAGTATTTTTATTTATTTGTCTGTAATGTAAATAATTATTTTATTACATTTAATTGATGGGCAATAATAAAAAGCTCCATGTGGCACTTGTAGCAAGATTTTATGTGCTATATTCTGCTTAGATTTTTCAGTTGCAAAGCTGGACCAACACAGGGAGTTTTCAACTATAAAAAGTAATTTTAATTTATTCTAGTTCTTAAAATGCAATGGTTTGCAAATTAATTCCTCATAGTAAATATGGTCTACATTTATATGTGTGTTTTGCAAAATTAATCCCATACTTGGCTTTTAAAGTATTGAATTAAATAATCAGTGTATAACTCGTTGGTACTTAAAAACTGAAGTTTTTAGTTGTGTATATATATATTTTGTGTGTGCATATGTGTATAACGATGTAGTAGCTTTATTTCTTAACTGCATTTTGAACTATTAAAGTGTACAAAGTAGATAATCTTATCATTTTAGTATGACAAGAAAGCTTAAATGCCAGTTTCTCACAATGCCAGATGGTATTTAGAGCAAAGATGAATGTCTCTGTTTATCTCAAAGGCAACAGAGAAGTTTCAAAAAGTTTTCAAAACAAATTAATTTTATTTACATTTATTAAAATCAGTATACAGCAGTGTGAAGAATTAAGAATTAAAATGTAAAGCAAAACTTGTGAAAATGTTAACTGTATAGTTACATGACAGGTTTGACTATAGTATATACATAAAACCTACTTACTTTTTCTTTTTGTTGTTTTAGATCCCTTGTAGCTAATCTTGCTGCTGCCAATTGTTACAAAAAAGAAAAACATCTTGATATGGAGAAAAACTGGATGTTGGTAGAAAAAGCAAGGGTTTATTACATAGCAGTAAGTATTTACCTAATTCAAGTTTCTGGTACACATTTACACTCTAAATTATAGTTGTTAGCTGATGTATGTTTAAAAATAATTGTCTTTTACTAATCCTGTAAATTATTTACCCATCTCAAAGCATATGCTAGGTTCACGATTACAAATACAGAACAGAAATATAGTCATTCTATGGTAACATAATTTGCATTATTTACCTTCAAATATACCTCTTTTTGGATACATTATACACAGATGTTTTTTAACCCAAGTATCAAATTCTGTATTAAATCAAATCTTAAGATCTTGTGAAGTAATTCTGGAAATTTACATTTTATATTTTTAGGCTACTTGTGAATGATGCATGCATTGTGTGGGGAAATATTAGTAGTATAAATATTCACTGCAAACACTTTGAGCTTATTTGCCTAAAAAATATTAATTACTATTTATTCCATAGTAATTACTATGACACCTTCTAATTTAATATTTCAGAAACATTGATTATGACAAATCTTTTAAATCTCAGAATAAGGGCAGCATGTAATTTGAATTATTAAATCTTCTGACATAAAAATAACTGGTTAAGAATTCATTTCTAAAATAAGACTATACTAAGAATTTCTCCAGAATTAATCACCCCATGAATACTGTGTTTTTATTTAGTATGAGTTAAATGTGGCTGATCACAAATAAGTAGATACCTATGAAAAATTAAAAGCACTTCATATGCATATAATGTATGGTTTTGATATAACAGCTGCTGCCGTTTACTACCTGAGCTGTGAAACAGCTGGTAAGATGTGTAAAAAATTGATTATCCAGTAGGAGCATGTTTATTGAAAATATAATTATTTCTTTCAGTCTAGTGTTAATGTCTCCTACAACATGTTTATGTGCACTGCTGTAGGCTTTACAAGGTTGTTATTGATTCCTGTGTATAGCAAATCCTACCCCTTTATAACTGTCAAGGAAATGCTTACATTGAGAAGATTATATAGAGGAAAGTCACCTCTTCTGACAGTATGTGAGAAAAACATTTCAAAATGTTTAAATTTTCTCTCTTGATTATCTTCTGCTCCATTTTATTTCACAAAATGGTCTCATTTTATCATAATGTCTTGGTAGCATGTTTTTGTAGTGTGACTTTTTAGGGGAGTTTATGTACTATCTCAAATCATCTTACATTTGAAAATTCGACTTTCAAAGAGCACATGGTTTAAAGTTGAGTGTTAATTATGTTTACTGACTGAAATATGACAATATATTATGATAGAAAAATATTTTTATCCTGACAATTACAGTTCCCTGCATGTCAGTATATCATATTTGGACCCCAAATTATGAGCTAACTTGGAAAAAACTCACTGAACAATTATGTACATGTAACACATCTAGCCAAGTTTGCATGAATGGAATTTTTATAGCAGTACAGACCCAACTTGCAACCAACTCATAGCTTTAACCATTATGTAACTAACACATCTAGCCAACTATGGCTAAGTGGAATTTTTATAGTAGTATTAACTATTCAAGTGCAGTTTTGTATAAAGTGTAGAGTGATCAGTTTTGGTCAAACTAATAAACAAAATGAATTGCTTTTGAGACTTGCATAGTATATTTAGTCAGAGGCATATATCATAATGGATTCCACTTGGTATCTCTGATGTTAGCTATTAGCTCTTAGTTTCTATTTTAGTAATTTAATAAAATAATGCTCTTTCACATTGCCAGGCCAATTTATAGTTTGTTTAGAGTTTGGCTATTTTAAAATAGTTCTAAAAATAGTAGACTCATAGTGGATAGCTGGGATGCTGTATATTCTAGTAAATATTCAATAAATACTTATTTTGCTAACAACTAAGGGCATAATTCTTGTTCATTAAAACCTATGAAATCTCTTCTGAAATGCAATGATACTTCCTCAGACATTTGGCAGGTCTTTTAAATCTTTTATACCCTTTGACCTCAGAGCATTCAGTCTAGTCTTTTCTTAGTAAGAAAACTACAAGTTTAGATTGAGTAGACATATATATATCTATACTGACTTCAACAGATCAGGTGGGCTTCTCTATACTCAGGTTCTATAGGGTTAGCAGTCATCCCACATCATCATTATAAACTTTGGAGGTTCAGAAAGCTGATATTGTGAGAGCTGTTTAATTACAACAGGTTCTTGATCTAAAGAAGCAACTCAATATAAATAGCACATTTCCCTAAGTAAGATACCTGCATTACATAAAATAAACTAGATCTACATACTCAACTCTTCTTCTTCTCCCTATTCTATAAATTAATAATGGTCATGAGTATTAAGAAAATTCAGAACCTTCACCATTTTCTCTGTCGCATAGTGCACTGAACTTGCAGTTCACAGAAAAAAACTTTCCTGATTAAAAAACAGAAATGGAGTATGTGTATACCAGTATTCTCTTTTGGTTTAAATGAAGTGTTGACATCTTCTTTACCTTCACGGCAGATGTCCCACTTATGGCATATAAAGTCAGTTTTTCCATGTTTAACGCAAACTCTTTGTTAGAAGGTATTTGGGGACTTCTGGCTGTTACTAGCTAATTACATTTTGAAAACATGATTCTCACTTGCTCTTTACCTTCTTAGCATCAGATTAGCATATGACTGTTTCTTCTCTTATGAGCAGTATTTCCTACAGTAGCCCTCTAAGACTATGATATTTAGGAAGAGTTTATGAAAAAGATTAGGAAATTGGAGTCATTAATTTTCTAAACCATGTATTTCTTTTTTAAGCAATATTAATATGCTATGAAAATGAGAAAATTAGCACTGAGTTTCTTCCTGCCTCTTGATTTTTTGTAGTTACTTTTATTTTTATATTTGCAGTGTTTAAACCTTTGCATTTTGTTCTATAACCGTAATTCTTACAGGCTTAATTCTGTGTTTAAATGAGCTAAATGCTTACCATCAATTACTTTACTCCATTTCCCCCATTCCTTTATTGTTTATTTTGATTTTCCTTCAACTGGCTGCTTTTTGCCATTAAACATTTTCTCCCCGATAAAAGACTCAAAACCCCTCTTTTCTTGAGCTTTTATTTATTTCCTATTGCTTTTATATGTAAATAGCAACTTGTTTGGTGTGATGTTTTGTGAAACAAAGTGCTCTGTGGACATTGCTTTCTTGTTTCCTTGTGCTTTTTCTGGGAAATATAAGATCAGTTTGATTTTTATTTCTGTTCTTTACTATTTCCTTTTTTCCTGTTTACTTTGGATTTCATTGGCTCCTCTTGCCCTCCTCCTCTACCTTCATCTACCTCCCCATCCCCCACCTTTGCTTTATTTCCTAAAGTGGAAGAATAATTCTTTGATCTGAGACTTTTCTCTTCTACTATAAATGTTTAGTGCTGTGAAATTCTTTCTAAGCATTCATTTGACTGTCTCCCACAAATTTTGATGTCATGTTTTCGTTTTCATTCATTTAGCAATACTTTCTACTTTCTGTTCTGCTTTCTTACTTGACTCATGGGTTGTTTAGAAATGTATTGTTTATTTCCTAAATGTGGGCATTTCCCAGAAATCTCTCTCCCACTACTATTACGGATTTGTATACTCCTTGCAAATCTGTCTAATTTTTCTTCATGTATTTTGAAACCCTGCTATTAGGTGCATAAATGTGTAGGGTTGATTATTTGACCCAATTATCATTTTGAAATATTTATCTCTGATAATATACTTTGTCCCCAAATCTATTCTGATATTAATATAACCAATCTAACTCTCTTTGGACTGTTGACATTATGGTATATCCTTTTTCACCCTTTTATTTATAACCTATTTGTGTCTTTATTTTTAAAGTGCATCTCTTGTAGACAACATACTATTGGGTCTTATTTTTTATCCACCCTGATACTGTTTATCTTTTGATTAGTATGTTTATGCCATTCCCAATAAAATAATTATTGATATGGTTAGGTTTGAGTTTATCATCTTGGTATTTGTCCTATCTGTTCATTGTTTTCTCTGTCCTCCCTTTTTTAAGGGGTTAATCCAGTATTTTTTTCCTCCATTGTTGATTTCATCTCTCTGTTTGATGTTATTTCAGCAGTTGTGTCAGGGTTTATAGAATACATTGTGATCTGCCGTCAAATAACACATTATGATATCACAAATAGTATAAGAATCTTACAATACCATACTTCAGTTTCATCTCTCATAGTCTTTATGCTGTCATGTAACACATTTTAAAAGTTTTGTGTTTATTTTTAAAACAGCTTTGTTAATATATAATTCACACACCATACAAGAGACACATTTTACTTTTATATGTTATAAGCACTGTAACATTATTTTTATTTAAACCTCAAATACCTTTTAAAGAGATTTAAATAGTAAAGAAACATGTATCTACTCATTTAATTACCATTTCCAGTGCTCTTCATTTCTTTTGCTTAGAATGAGATTTCCATCTGGTGTCATTTTCCTTCTGTCTGAAGAGCATTTTTTGGCTTTTATGTGTTTGGGTCTGTTGGTGATAAATTCTTTCAGCTTTTGTATTTTTAAAAACATGTTTATTTCACCTTTGTTTTAAAAGAGATTTTTGCCACGTATGTAATTCTAAGTGGACTGTTTTTTAGTATTTAAAAAATGCTCTACTGTCTGACATCCTTACTGTTGATCCTCTGGCACGCCACACACCACCAACCCTGGCTGCTGTTAAGATTTCCTGTTTATTACTGGTTTTGATCAGTTTGGTTGTATTGTACCTTAGTCTATTCTTTTGCATGTTTCTTGTACTTTGGGTTTCACTTCTTAGAGCTGTGGGTTTATGGTTTTTAATATGTTTGGAATATTTTCAGTTATTATTTCTTTAATTATGTTTTCTACCTCTACCTCCATCTCCTTTTGAGTTTCAAATTACTCATATATTAGGTCACGTGAAGTTGTCTCAAAGCTCAGTGATGCCACCTGTTTTTCATTTTTGTGGATTCTTTTTCTCTCTCTTTCATTTTGGATAGTTTCTTTCGCTTTACCGTCTAGTCACTG